CAGCCTAGAAACCTGTATTTGGTTACATATTCTAGTTGAGATCCATCATGCAACTGGAGACCCATCATGCCTTTCTGTCGAGGAGGACGCCTGTTGAGTATCTTTGTTTTCTCAGTAAAGATAATCAGCCCCAGGTCCTGACACGAGGCTAGTACATGCTGACCTTGTTACTATCAAGACACAGTCGCTCTACTCTCAAGAAGTCTTCCTTCGATTTCTGCTGGGGAGGGAAATTTATATACTACAAGCGCCACCTCCTCCTCTTTACAATGCTGTCGCATCGTGTGAAAATCAAGCCAGTGTATGGGGTAATTAATGACTCCACCAAGCCGGCTTTAGCTACCGCAATGAGAGCCTGCTTGCAGGTTAAATATACGGCAATCCACTCGCTGATGGACTCCTTATTTGTCGACTGACTGAAGATACTGAAGCATCTGGACTCATGGACGACTCTTCAGTCAAGACCATATAAACACGACAATTCACCATATCCCCGTCTCCATTCTTGAAAGCAAAAAGTTTCATTTTTGTGAAAAGGCTTTACAAGATCGTCAGGTCTCTCTCAACTGAAGCACCGAAGGCATCTATCGAGGAACAAAACACCTGGGCCTCGGTAGACAACATCACCAAGACTCCTAACGCCTCATCAATGATAAAGATCACTTTCTCAGACATCTCCATGGCTGCTCAAGCTCTGTCTGAGGGACTGGCCATCTCATATTATTACATCCACCCAAGCCATATAGAACCAGAACGCTTCACACTCGTTTCCCGTTACTGGACCTGTTACTCCTATAATAACACCACCAAGGACTGCATAATCAAGGAAAAGAAGTTCTGTTCTAAATCTTGGAATGATGGACACGAATTCAGATCCTGCACCATCACCACGGCTCCTACATGTCTTAACTGCAAGGGTAATCAAGAAATCATTTCCACGAAAACTAAAGAAGATCTAAAGAAGAACACCTCCATTTCACTGACATACGCTGCAATACCCAAACTACAAGCCCACACCACCAAGATTCTACACGCCACTCTACAGACACCTTCGCCCAGCAACTCCTTCTCTCCACTCCCTGACGGTGCTCCCTCCAAGCTGCTGTAATTTAAGGTGTATGCACACCTTGCAAATGCAGCAAACCCCGACTCTTTCAACACCATCATTAACGAACTATTCCGTCTGAACAAAATGCCTGCCTTCAATTTCCTGGACTCCAGACCTTTAGCCGACGTAGTCAAGATCCTTCCTACCATCGTGAACTTTACTGCAACTACAGATCTTTCTCCTGTCCAAGCAACTGTTCCTTAATCTTCTAGAACCACCTCCACCGCTGACAACTCTGTTTGTTCTGCCTCAGCCACCGCCTCCGACATCTCCCAACCTGTTGGTACACCACCAAAATACCTCTCCACTGTTCCTACCGACCCACCGTCACCTACCCGCGCCTTTGTGGACTCACCCACTTAATCCACTTCCGAAGAAGAAGTTGTTGTTGATGAGTCCAGTACACCTTCATGGAAAAACCTTACCTTCTACACTTCACCATCTAAAGGTGATATAATGACCTTCACAGAGCTCTACAAAAGCCTCGGGGCTGGAACTGCCAAGTTTGCTTGCGAGCCACCTCTTCACTTCACACTTATCCAAGTTCTGGAATTCATCAAGCCTCTACGTTTCACCTTCGGAAACAAAACTAAACTATTCCACCCCACGAGCAGCAGCTGCAAAAAAACTGAAAGTGGCTCCTCTACAAACCTGCCTCCTTAATTATTCACGTCAAATAACACCACCAGTGAGCTGCCCCCTGATGTTTATTCCTGCCTTCACTTCCCTGTGACCTAGCCTGCTGCCAGCTTCTCAGAACTCAACGCCTCCAATTATCACAAAACAGATGCAACAGAGCCTGCTCTTTCTGTTTCTCCCTGTCTGTCCCACGAGCGCCTAGCTGCTGGGTTAAGCCCCAGCACTTTCTTTACGACTGTGGATACTCCTCTCCAAAGCTATTCTTCGCCTGTCCCATCTTCCCCGCTCACCTCACGTGGGGCCTTACCTAAACTCTTTTATCCTTTCTTGTCATGATGGTTAAGGATGTTTTGGGTGTTGGGGAATCCGGTGGTGTGAATCATAATATCATCAGCCTAGTCAATCATATAATGATCGGCCTAGCTAAGCATAGCATTAAGTAAGATGGGACTGGGCACACCACCCTGTGGGGTTCCTAATTCAAAGTCTTTAGTTACACTTCTATGTCCCTGGAACAACACAGAAGACTTTCTGTTGGACAGGTAGCCTTTTATCCAGCGGAGAAGCCATCCTCCAACATCCATTCTGGTAAGTTCATTAATGATTACATGTCGGTTGGCTACATCAAAAGCAGATTTAAGGTCAAGGCAAGTAGTTTATGGGCTGTCAGTGTGCAGGGTGAGAAGAGTGGTCTATGGATGAGACGATTTAGAATAATCCTCTCAAATGTTTTACGGAATGTAGTTTATTGGCTGGGCTTTGGAATGGGAATGATGAGGCTGTTGGTCCAAAATTTAGGGAGTTCCCCAGTTACATAGCTCATGTTATTTAATTCAAGTAAAGGATTACCTGGTACTAGACATAGTAATCTAAGTAAATTGTAAGTAATACCATCCTCTCCAGGCGACGTGGAACTACCTTTAGTTAATGCTGTTTCGAGCTCACAGTTTGTGAAAGGAATGTTACAGTCATCTTCCTTGCTGAGCATAAAACAAATCAGTCTCTCCCTTGCATCATATTTGTTCGTTAATTTAGCCTTTGTGGAATTGGAAAGTTTGTCATAGCTGGATATAGCAGCCCAAGCACTGATTAACACATTCGCCCTATGTAAGGGATGAGGGTGCGCGATCTGAACAGTCCCTTAGTTCTGTTTATATCCCTCCATGCTCGGCAAAGTGGGGTGTGGGCATTGAGACCACTGACATTTTTTCCAGTCTCTTTGTTATAGCTGTCATAGGCTCCCTGGCAGCAATTAGGGCAGTTTGAAAGAGCTTCAGCATATATGGGGTACGATATTTTCTACAGACTAGGCCTAGTCTGTGAGTAGTACATTTCAATGTTCGAAGTTTAGGCTGATTGTGGTAGGTAGGATTTTTATATGATGAATAATTATTATGGATGTTAGTTGGGTTTGGAGTACCAGGAGGTTTCTGTGGCAGTTCTAACTAGTTATTACATACAAGGTCATTGTTAAATCTCAAAAGAGGAATATTCATAGGAATTGTACCACTCTGTAATATTTGCAAGAAAGTCGTCATGCTGATCAGGAAGAACATGAAAGCGTTTCCGTTTGAATATTCCACAGTAGATTCACATCGTCTACAAATAGGTATCCCAAATTGCAACGATGTGAAGCTAATGCGGAGACTTCTAGCGGACAAGGATCAAGTAGGACTAAAATGGATCAGGAGAGGCTGCAATCTTGGTCCAACAATTGGTTTCTAGAGTTTAACCCCTACAAAGTTCACCGTCATAAAGATTGGAGAGGGTCAAACAAAACAGCAGATGGAGTACACACTAAGGGGTCAAAGGATGCTAACCTCACTCAAGGAAAATCATCTTGGGGAGACTGTCATATCGAACACATCTCCTGAGGCGCACCTCAACCAAATAACTGCTGAACAATGTAGGTTCCTGCCAAACCTAAGACTAGCGTTTCGACACCTGAGTAAGAACTGATTCAAGACATTGTACACTGTGTATGTCAGGCCTATATTGGGTATGTAGCACCAGTATGGAACAAACACTTGGCTAAGCACGTTACCAAATTAGAGAAACTGCAAAGGTTTGCAACAAGACTAGTCCCGGAGCTAACGGGTATGTAATACAAACAGAGATTAACGGAAACCAATATGATGACACTGGAGGACACGAGGGATAGGGAGGAATTGATAACGTCATATAAAATACTGAGAGGAATTGACAAGATAGATAGGGACAGAATGTTTCAGAGGTCACAATTCGAAGTTAAAAACTAAGATGGGCCACAGGAATGTTAGAAAGTATTTCTTCAGTGAGGAAATGGCATTTCTTCAGTGTTGGAGTTGTCAGGAAGTGGAACAATCTGGAGAGTGATTTAGTGGATGAAGGATCCATTCATAGCTTTAAAAAAGAGGTATGATAAAGTTCTTCGAGCTGGAAGAGAGTGGACCTAGTAACGACCAGCGAAAAGGCGGGGACAGGAGCTGCGACTCTGCCCCTGTAACCACAGATAGGCGAGTACAAGTAGGTGAGCACACATACAACTATACGCGGGGACTCTCCTGACTTCTTCGTTACAGTATCAGGTTCATTGTATATCACTTTTGTCCTAGAAATCAGCTTTTCACTACTTTGTAAAAGTAACAGCTAGATTAAAGCAAAATGGAGAGTGAACTTTGTGTTCTGCGTTTCCAAGGCAACACGGAACCTGCAGCCTAACAGTTCTAATATTGATATTGCAAAGATCTTTATCAAATGGCTGAAGGTAACTCAAAAATATATACGAATGTTAGTATATTGAACATCTTTTTAACCTAAGTCAATGTCAAATAAGTTATAGTTTGATAATCCTCAAAGAGTATATACCAGCAGGTGTTTCTCGTTAAGTGGATATACACTTAACATAAACCATTTTCATTTAATATCTATTTTGCCAGAGAATCACAGTTATCACAGTTCAAAATGACCCTCCGAATTACAGCATCCCATCTCTTCTTCAGACTGTAGGCACTGTATCTCCCACCTCCAGATCATAAGTCCCCCTAGAGACCTCCAGGTAGGACGTACAGTGCCTTAACTATATAGGAAAGTGAACAAGTATGTTGTATCACAGGAGATGGTTAAAGTTACGTATTATGAAAAGCGGGGGGGGGGTTAATTAGGGTATTGTTAGCTCAGAAATCACTTTTATCTTGAAAACTTTGATGTTTACATCATAAATTAACACTTGAGATAAGCAAGCAGTGTTTGTAGCGTATGTGTTGACCTACAGGATATGGGACCAAGATGTGAAGGGTGTGGACTGTGGAGGTGACGTAGCGGACTTTCTCACCCGGGTCGTCTCTCAAGGCAAAACAAAACTACGACTCTTATACCGGGGAGACGTGGGAAAGAACAGATCAGCTCGAAGATATAAGTATTACAACTTCCCGAAGATCCGCAACACAGATACAGTGAGTTAAATTATTTATTAATAAAGATTTAAAAAGTACTGAAGATTATTATAACATGGCACTTATCTGCAAAGGAATTTATACATGATGTCTATAAAGCTTGTAACTGATTAGGTTTAGAAGCCAACCTTGAAATTTAATTTCATAAGCTACCGATCATTATTTAAAGCAAAAAGATTTAGAGTACTTTCCTTAAACCTAGAAATAAATCAGCTTCAAAATCACGGAAGTTATACATTTCATTGATGATAGAAAATATTAACTAAATTTAAACTGGATTAAGTAAATCTATATTACGTTAATGTTTTGTTGATGGGTTAATTTTTGCTTCATTTTCGTACCACAGCCGAACTCCATTAAACAATTGGCTTTTCCAAATATTGTTTTGAAGATAGGTTACAGTTAGGTCCCAAAATACAACATTTCATATCAATATCAATTAAATATATACATACATACAATATATATATATTATATATATAATATATATATATTATATATATATTATTATATATATATATATATAATATATAATATATATATATATATTATATATATATAATAATATATATACAATATATATATTATACATAGTCGGCCGTCGGCAGGGTGACCCAAAAAGAAAGAAAATCTCAAAAAGAAAATACTTTCATAATTCAACACTTTCACCACACTCACACATAATCACTGTATTTGCAGAGATGCTTAAAATACAACAGTTTAGAATCATATCCTTATAAAGATACATAACATGTCCCTCCAAACTGCCAATATCCCGAACCCCTCCTTTAAAGTGCAGGCATTGTACTTCCCATTTCCAGGACTCAAGTCCGGCTATACAAAAATAACCGGTTTCCCTGAATCCCTTCACTAAATATTACCCTGCTCACACTCCAACAGCTCATCAGGTCCCAAATACCATTCGTCTCCATTCACTCCTATCTAACAACTCACGCATGCTTGCTGGAAGTTCAAGCCCCTCGCCCACAAAACCTCCTTTACCCCCTCCCTCCAACCTTTTCGAGGACGACCCCTTCCCCGCCTTCCTTCCGCTACAGATTTATACGCTCTCCATGTCATTCTACTTTGATCCATTCTCTCTAAATGACCAAACCACCTCAACAACCCCTCTTCAGCCCTCTGATAATACTTTTAACTCCACACCGTCTCCTAATTTCCACACTCAGAATTTTCTGCATAATATTTACACCACACATTGCCCTTTGACAGGACATCTCCACTGCCTCCAACCGTCTCCTCGCTGCTGCATTTACAACCCAAGCTTCACACCCATATAAGAGTGTTGGTACTACTATACTTTCATACATTCCTTCTTTGCCTCCATAGACAACGTTTTTTGTTTCCACATATATCTCAACACACCACTCGCCTTTTTTCCTTCATCAATTCTATGATTAACCTCATCCTTCATAAATCCATCCGCTGACACGTCAATTCCTAAATATCTGAAAACATTCACTTCTTCCATACTCCTCCCCAATTTGATATCCAATTTTTCTTCATCTAAATCATTTGATACCCTCATCACCTTACTCTTTTCTATGTTCACCTTCAACTTTCTTCCTTTACACACCAAAACTCTTTCAGTAACCTTTGCAATTTTTCTTTAGAATCTCCCATAAGCACAGTACCATCAGCAAAAAGTAACTTTGTCAATTCCCGTTTTGTATTTGATTCCCCATAATTTAATCCCACCCCTCTCCCGAACACCCTAGCATTTACTTCTTTTACAACTCCATCTATAAACATATTAAACAACCATGGTGACATTACACATCCCTGTCTAAGACCTACTTTTACCGGGAAGTAGTCTCCCTCTCTTCTACACACCCTAACCTGAGCCTCACTATCCTCATAAAAACTCTTTGCAGCATTTAGTAACTTACCACCTATTCCATATTCTTGCAACATCTGCCACATTGCTCCTCTATCCACTCTATCATATGCCTTTTCTAAATCCATAAACACAATAAAAACTTCCCTACCTTTATCTAAATATTATTCACATATATGCTTCAATGAAAACACTTAATCTACATATCCTACCCACTCTGAAACCTCCTTGCTCATCCACAATCCTACATTCTGTCTTACCTCTAATTCTTTCAATAATAACCCTACCATACACTTTTCCTGGCATACTCAGTAAATTTATTCCGCTATAATTTTTACAATCTCTTTCGACCCCTACCCTTTAGATAAAGGGACTATACATGCTCTCTGCCTATCTCTATGCACCTTTCCCTCTTTCATACATTTAGTAAGCAAAAATATCAACCTCTTCAACACTATATTTCC